GGGGAGCACATTGCTTTGGAGAAATTCTGTGTCACTTACACTGCCCACAGGACAGAGACACCAAGAGCTTCCCTTGGCAGCTGCCAGGAGGGAACTGTGGGGATGGGGTCTGCAAATGGGAATTCTGTAAATCAGAAGGTGGTGATTTACCTCCCTTTGCTGACTAATTGCTAAGTAGTTACCAGCTGTGGGGTTTCTCTTCAAGGCAGGCTGTGGAATTCCTCAGCAGCGAGGGACACATCTACTCCACGGTGGATGATGATCACTATAAGTCAACGGATGCCGAGTAAAGTTCCTTCCATCTGACTTTAGTTCCAAGCAAATGTTTGTCCGTATTTCAAGATACCTTGCTGAGCTCTGTTACATGGACGGTGCCCTTTGCTCTTTGTGAGAAGCCCTGGTTCCCCGGTGAATGCCAACTCCTTGGAATTCAAGGATGAGCAGAACGTGTGTGATGCTGGTAATTGGACCTGATTCTATGCTGTGACCATGTGACTGAAAGTATAAACAGACATGGGGAAACTGAATTCCTCAAAGCTCCAGAGCTTTCACTTTGTTTTGGCTCCTTAGAGAGTGCCTGGTAGAAAGAAGAGCCTCTTTATGATTTGTCCTTTATTTCTAGAGCTGTTTGTCCTAACTCGGCTTCCATTCCATTTTCTTCACAAAGTGGATAGCCAAGAGTAATCTTCCACTGATGTACAGCAATCATGAGAAGATGTTTTTATTGTTTAGTTTGTGCACTTAAAATCTATATTTGTACTAGAGCTGATCTTGTTACCTACAGCTTTTGAACTTTTCCAATAAAATGTTAACTTGAGACACCTTGTATCATGTGTGACTCTAGAGGCTTCTCTGCCTTCAAGAAGAAAACTGCTTGGCAAAACTGTGGCCACATCCACGGGGCTGGCAGGGAGAGCCAGGGCCTCTGCTCTGCTCTGCTCTGCCAGGATTACTGCTGGGGCAAGTCCCAGTGTCCTGCTTGGGTTCGGTGGCCCAGCTGTAGCCCGTGGTGCACCTCTGTGCTGAATCATGCAGCAGCTGTGTAACAGGTGAACTTTTGCCTGTGGAGTTCAGCATATCTAAAAGCCAAAAGTACTGTCATTTCCTTTTGTAGGAGGTGTGCAGGTTAGGAAGAAAAGCCCTGAGGACTTTTGGAAGCGAAGATGAGTGGAATTGCTTACAGTCAGGAGAGCAGGATAATTGGCTGGGGCCAGGGCTGCGACGGCGGCGGGAGCGGAGGTGGACACACGGCCCGGGACAGTCACACAGCCCACTGGGGCCAGGGCTGCGACGGCGGCGGGAGCGGAGCTGGGGCGGACACACGGCCCGGGACAGTCACAGAGCCCGGGACAGTCACAGAGCCTGGGACAGTCACAGAGCCCAGGGGGGTCACACAGCCCGGGACAGTCACACCTGGGCCGCGCTGTCGCTGTCGCTGCTCGCCGCCGCCTCAGCCGCCGCGCAGGCCTGCAGCTGGCTCTGGCTGCGCTCCGACCCGCCCGCCCTGCGCCCCGCCGTGCCCGGGGCGCTGCTCGCCGCCCTCCACCTCCTACAGCTCGGCTTCTTCTTTAGGTACGGCAGCCCCACACCGAGTTTCCCGCCCGCCGCCGGGGCCCCGCTCCGCCCCAGCCTCCCCCGGCTGCCTCAGCCCCTCCCGGGCATGGAGGCGAGCGGTGCCGGGGGCCGGGAGGCTCCCGCGCAGGGCAGGCCGGAGCCGGATGGAGAGGGGCGGTGGGAGCGAGGGAAGTTTCCCTCGGGCTCTGCTCTGTCTCCGGGGCTGTTGCCGCTGCCCTCCAGACAAACGCAGCAGCGCCCCGAAACCTCGTCACGGCCCCGGTGCTCCCGGCCCTTGAGGGGAGCAGCCAGGCCGAGCCGCGGGAAGGGAATAATCCAGGCAGGACTGCTGAGATCGATGCTCAGTTTTTTACACTTGCACTTCAGCCGTGGCTGGGCACCGTGTGGCTGCTGTGGTGTGTGGTTTGGGCAGGGGGAAGGAGGGGTTTGGGTGTAAAAAAGGGGTTTGTTGTCCTGTCAGGAGTTTGTTGTCCTGTCAGGGCAGTGTGGGGACCAAGGTGTGCGCCTTGCGTGGCCCCTCACCCCCTGCTGGTCCCCACACAGGTGCCTCTATGCCCTGAAGGTGGGCTGGAGGGTGTGCTGGGCGAAGGCAGAGGAGGAGGATGAGCAGAGACACATGGCCTTCATCTCCCACGACATCAGCATGCTGCGTCTCTTCGAGACCTTCCTGGAGAACACCCCGCAGCTCACCCTGCTCCTCTACATTATCCTGCGGACAAACAAGGCTGAGTTCTCCCAGGGTGAGGGGACTGGGGCCAAGGGAGGGGGCTGATGTGGAGGTGGAGGCTTGGGGTCAGAGTGGGCTTGGGTTGGGCAGATCAGAGAGGCTGTCCACGGGCTGGGGGACGCAGCAAGACATTTGTTGTCATTCTGCTCCCATGTCACTCCTTCCTTTGATGTGTCACACTATAGGGTGGACCCCTGTGCTGCACACACATGCCCTAATGGTCCATGCTGGGCTCAGGATAGGGGGGTTGAAGCCATGGGACCACTGTGGCTATTCTCTTATGAGCCCCAGGAGAGGCTGAGGGTCAGGTGAGAAATCAGGCACTTAGGAGTAGGGAGGTGCTGATGTTGGTATGGGTGAAGCACAGGTGAGCAGGGGCTGTGGTGCCCTTCCCAGGGTGGAGAACAGATGCCACTGCAGGGAAATGGGGAGCCCAACAACGTGGGAGCCAGCACTCGCCTGCCTGTGTGGGCTGAGGGCTTCCATGCCTGAGAGATGAGCTCTGCAGGGCTGTTCAATCCCAGCATTTCTTCCTCATCTTTTGAGCAAGGCCAGGCACCAGCCTCCTTGTCCTCAGGGAGGGCAGAAGGCCAGGGGAGAGCTGCAGCTGCTGATGCTCTGACCCTGACAGCAGCTGCTTTGTGAGCTGGGGGAAAATTCATTTTAGCAGTGGTGGGCAGGGAGGGATTGAGCCAGGCTGGGCCAGCCCTTGATGCCCCTCAGCATTTTCACCTGTGTGTTTGCAGGCCTGGGGATGGGCACCGCGTTCCTGTGTGTGTCCTGGTCTCTGCTGGACTACCACCAGTCCCTGCGCTCCTTCCTGCAGGACAAGCACGAGCTGAGCCTGGGCTCTTCCATCGTCTACTTCCTGTGGAACCTCTTCCTCATCTGCCCCCGCATCCTGGCCGTGGCCCTCTTCGCCCTGCTCTGGCCCTACGGTGTGGCCGTCCACTTCCCACTGGTGTGGCTGGCCATGTTCCTCTGGGTCAGCCTGCAGGGCACGGACTTCATGGAGTCAGCCGGGCCCGAGCAGCTGTACCGGGCCATGGTGGCCGTGATCCTCTACTTCAGCTGGTTCAACGTGGCGCAGGGGAGGACGCTGCACCGCAGCATCATCTACCACGGCTTCATCCTGGTGGACAGCACGCTGCTGGGCCTCGCCTGGCTCTGGGGCCGGGCTCCCTCTGAGGAAGACTCGTACCTCCTCCCCGTGGTCAGTGCAGCCCTGCCCTGCTACCTGCTGGGGCTGGGGCTGAGGGTCACCTACTACAAGTGGCTGCACCCCAACGTGCAGGTGCGGCAGGAGGGCAGATACGACGAGGTGGATGCTCATGGAGGGGGGGATGGGGTGGAGTTTCGCTCCTTTTTGGAGCCAGACCTTGTCAACAGGCGGATGCAGTGGCTGGCCCAGAGCCACTTCTCCCTGTCCCAGCCACCACAGCAGCACTTCCTGAACGGGGCTGCTGCTGTGGAGTCTGCTGTCTGAGGGCAGCTCCTCTAAAGGGACATGATGGGGAGATAGACATGTTGGTGTACCCCTGGTTGTGCCCCCCAGGCTGTTGTTTTGGACAGCTGGAGGGAGCTGGCAGAAACCAGGGGTGAGGGGGAAACACCCAGTAAGTCCCATGGCACTCAGCATGGCTCCCATGGCTGTACCCTCAGGGAAAGCCATGGTGTTTGTGGTGAGTCCAGCACATTGTAGCATCTGGCTACAATGCTCTGTCAACTTTTCTTGTTATTTATTAGTACCTTTTTCAAAAAAGAAGAATGGAAACAAGAGCACTGGTTTATTTTCTCTGTGCCTCTCCTGTGCCTGCTGCTGCCATTGCTGTGCTGGGATATGGGTGCTGGGGCAGGGAGGACCTGTTTCCTCCATGGTTGTGGCTATCTGACCTTTCTGTTTCCAGCCATGATTTTCCTCCTTGTGTTAGTTTTCCTGTTAAGGTCAAAGCTCACCTGTTATCACTGTGTTCAGGGGGGGATGGGGCAGGAGGCCTGTGCTGGGAGGAGTGGCTGCAGGGTGGCTCAGGCCTTCCAGCTTATTATGGACACCTCATGCTCCCTTGGCTGCCACTGCCACCACCACAGCCTGGCAGGGCTCCCTAGACCATGGGCAGGCTGGAGCTGGCCACATTTCTCAGCCATTGGTGGCTGTTGGTGTGGCCAGTGTGTGCCAGCTGCTGGGCACAGACACCCACCACTCCCCAGCTCAGTGCCCAAACCCAGCCCGTGCCCTTTGCTGCTGCCCAGCTGGCAGCTGTGGCACATCCCGGCTGCCCACAGCACTGACCTTTGCCTCCTTCCCCCCATCTCCATCACATCCCTCCCAGCAGCCCATCCCAGGAGGAAACTGCCAAACCAGGGAAGGCATCTGGAATGCAGCTGGAGGAGCAGCTGCAATGCTGTTTCACAGCTGCTCCTGTAAGCAGCTCAGCCCTGCCCATGGCCAGCAGCACAGTGTGGGAGAGGGGTGGTGCCTTGTGCAAAAGAAAATGGGAAGGGAACGTTTTGTGCAGGAAGCACCATGTGCCTGCCCTGGAAACCTCAGCAGGGCCCAGGAGCAGGTCCCTGGCCCACTGCCCCCCAGCAGCAGGGGGCTCTGGTGGCTGCACTGTGACCTGTGGCACCCTGATGCTGCTGGTGCTGCCAGGCCTGGCTCGGGCTGTCTTGGGGGCAGAGAACAGGCTGAGGCACTGACTATAGAAAATAAAGACTTTATTATTTTTTCCAGTTCACAGGACAGTTCCCATTACAGACCATGAACAGGCAAAGGCCCCACAGCACCTGAGCTCACCCCTCATAGCAGAGCAAAAAAGGTCCTGTGGGCTCCAGGGTCCTACTGCTTCCCACCAGTGCCAGCACAGACATCTCCCCCAGGGCTGTTGGAGGCAACAAGTATTAGTGGATCAGGTGGTTTTTAAAGCCTCTGTGGCTGTGTTGAAGCTGAAGGGGAAGCCAGCAGCACCCAGGTGAGCTCAGGTGCTCTGGGCCTGCAGGCTGACTGTCCTTCAGGTGTTCAGGTTTGCTCTCCCATTACCCCTGACCTGACTGTAGCTGAACTGGTGACAGAGAGAGGAGAAAATCAATGCTTGGAGAGAGATGCTGTTCTTGCCTCAAAAGAGACAGAAAAAGGCTTAAATTCAGCCAGTAGAGGAAAAAATAAAATAGCCAGGTCACCCCTTTATTAACAAACACAGAAATGTACCATCAACCTCCTGTTATAAAAGTACTTTACATACATTCAAGGAAACATCATATAAATACCAGTATGAAATGTCAGTGGCTGCGAGTTCCACACTCAGCTAAAATTTTACCAACATCTTAAAATTTCCTTAAAACATTTGAAGTAAACAAACACAAAGCACAGCTAGCTGCCTGGCAGCTCAGGCCTGCAGGTCCAGCACCTGCTGCCAGTGCCTGGGCAAACCCAGCCCCTCTCAGCACGGCTCTGCTCAGCTGCTTCTGATGGCAGCAAAGCACAAGGGCTGCTCGGCCGTGCTGCTGGTGGGAGCTTAAGGCACAGGTTTTAATCCCAAATTCAGCCAGCTGGAGTACAAGAAATGCTCCCAACAGGCTGCTGCACGGGCTGGGACAGCTCCCCAGCCTGCTTACAGGAGACCTTTGGATGGGCTGAGCATCAGCACAGACTCTCCTGTGACTACAAGTGAGTCCTGATCCTCTGGTGACATTTCCAGCCCTGGGAGCAGTGAGGCTGCTCCTCACCACAGCTCTGGCTCTTCACAGGGACCCCAGAGGAACTGGACTCTATGGACCCAGCAGTAAGGGAGCTGGAGCTGCCTCAGCTGCCTCAGAACAGGTGCAATACACCTTGGCTCTCCATCTGGTGCAGAGAGAGAACAGCCCTGGGTCCTGCTTCCCTTTCCAGATCCACTGCTGAGCACTCCCAGCACAGCCTGTCTGTCCCCAGGGCAGCCCAACACCTTTCCCTGTGCTGAGCTGCCCAGTGACACCCACAGCAGACTCCTCATTTTCCTCACGGGATGAGCAGCCCCCACATGGACAAAATGTTCCTGGGACATACACAGACCCAGTATCCACCCAGGATCAGAGCACAAGGCTAACACCTGGCCAGGAGCTGAATGGAAAGCAGATCACTCCTGACTCCAGTGACCACCCTGGAGAAAGAGAATCACCTTTGATTCCAATTTAATTAATCTAAAAAAAACCCCAAAACCAACCAAACTCAAAGGGAAACTGGAGCTGGTACCATGTGTGAAATAAACCTCCCAGGTCCAGTGCCTGAGTACAGGGTATCCAAACCCCTGGCTCCAGGCACCTTCTGCCCCGTGGTCACTGGAGCTGGCCCAGGAACAGATGCTCCCAGGGCACAGCAGAGCCTGTGCAAAGCTGGCCCAGCACTGATGGAAATTAACCCTCAGTAATTAAAGCCATGAAAGGAATGCAGCAAACATATCCCTGCCTGTACGGGCACAGCAAATGGTGAGTCTGCCACTCCCTGCAGTGACAGACTTTCAGCCCAGTCTCCTGGTGGCTGATGTGGGGCTGATGACCACGATCTGGAGGGGTCTGGGTGCAGCCACAGGTCTGGCCCTGCAGGAGCAGCAGCAGCAGGTTCTGGGGCACTGCACACACCTGTCCTCAGGGCACCTGCTGATCTGGTGCCATCAGGGTGGATGGGGGAGACACCAAACACAGCCTGAGTTGGCACAAAACCAGCCTCTGTGCCAGCCCCAGTCCCTTGCTGGCTGTTCCTGGCCAGGGGAGCTGCAGGTCACTGACTCCAGCCTCTGTTCTCAGACAGCTGCAGAAAAATCAGCATCACCATCCCTCCCAAGTGCTCCATGCTGCCAAGTCACAGTGTCTTAGAAAATTAAGTCCCTCTTAACAAGGCATTTGTTTGTCATTATGTAGTTAGGCTAATGCAAAGAATGTAAGAAAATTGAATCTGATTCTACTAAAAGGAACTTACAAATAGGGTCAGGAACACAGAGGTGAAGGTTATACCATAGCCAGAGTCTTCTCTGCAACATTCATGAGGATTTAGGAATTAGATTATTCCTAGTCCAGGTGAGGACTCAGTTCACATCTGAGCAGTCTGCACCAGTCTGCTGTACCTGATGTTCACAGGCAATTTCAATTTTCTTTGCAGGGAAAATCTGTGGGATCTACAGTCCAGACAAAGGCTGGAATCCAGTGATCTCCTGCTGGCTAAAAGGGCTTCTGCACACATTGACTAGAAGCCACTGGGATCAACTCAGAACACCAATACTTGCCTCTACAAAGAACCACATATTCCAGAAGCATTCCCTTACCTTTATATTTTCCAGTAATCCCACACTGAGGAAATAACATAAGGACACTGTAATAAATTAACTGTTTTGAACATCCAGGAAAGGAGAGAGGACACATTTTACAGCAATAGAGGTATTTTTGACATTTTCATTAATATTTCCTATGAAAAAAACCCACAGCTCTTCGGCTTTGCAAAACAAGGGAGGTTTAAGCTCTGCCATCAGCGTTTTCCTATAAAAATAAATTTTTGTGTTTACTTGGGTTCTACAACTAAGCTGAATAGAAAGAAGAAGGCTCTTACACATAAATCTGCTGTTTTATGGCCCCTCCCTCTGGAGGCCAGAGGCATTCAGCTGGCTCTGTAAGTCCCTTCTGCAGACAAGCTCTAGCTCTGCTGAGTCCAGGGCTTCTTCACAGGACACCTCTGGACTTGGCAGGGCCCGTGCTCCCGAGGAACGACCTGCTGTCATATTCCATTGTACAGTTTGCTTTAGGCATGTTTTCTTCATCAAGCTGAAAGTGAGTCCCCAAACATGTGAGATTTCTGTCCCCCCAGGAATGGGGAGGGCTGGCGGGAGCTGCAGTCGCGTCTTTGCTCCAATGTCTTACAGGAAGTCCAACTCAAGGGCTTGGTGAAGGGACACGAGGTCAGCATGATTTGTGATCCTCCAGAATGGCATGTTGTGCTGTGAAGGGAGAGGACAGTCAGGTTTATGCAGGGATTTGAGCTGAGCTGGAAGCAGGCTGGGTGGAGCTGCAGGGCTGTGCAGTGTGGTGGTTCTGAGCACACCACTCTCAGGACAGAGCTCAGCCACGTGCACATCTGTATCTGGAGCCCATCTTATGTGCACAGCTGTGTGTGACAGGCTCCAGCACTGACTGTCAGCTGCTCACGATGGAAACCTTGGCTGTGAGCTGCTGCTGCACCCAGGAATGCCTGTCCAGGGCTGACAGCTCTGGCACATGCCAGAACGTGTGACGCCTGCAGAGTCAAAGTCCTGACAGTCATCTTTGCACTCTACTACTAATTAGCACAACTGAACAACCCATCCAGGCCTGTCCAAATCAATCAATCTCTTTGCTCCTTGTTTGTAATTCAGCCTAATGACAGGTGCTGTATTGATCTGCTGCTGTTCCTGAGCCCTGACTCCTCCATACCCCTGAGAAACTGCAATATCCTGATAGTCACAGGCTATGATCAGCATCAGAACCACAGAATCAACAAGGGTGGAAGGGACTTCCAAGATTATGAGTCAAACCTTTCAACATGCTACACCCAACAGGCTATACTAAGACACTAATGACAGGAACAGTGTTATATGCAATCTTGAACAATGGTAAAAGAGAAACTTTAAACACCCAGGAGCAGAAAACCACCCATCTTAACACAGTGGAAGATCTCTTGCATGAAAGGCAAACTCTGCTCCTGGCTGCCCTGGCCTGAAGAGCTCAGCCCTGGAAGGAAAGCCCTTGTAGGGAAAGCCTGCCAGCACTTCCCTCTGCATTGCCCCTCTGCACTCAGACCCACCTGCTTGGCTGCCACCTCCTCGTCGCGCCCGTCTCCGATCACCACATACGTCACCTTCTTCCCAAAGCGTGACACGATCCTCTCGAAGCAGCTCTCTTTACCTGCCAGAGACAATCCCCCTCAGGCAGAGAGAAACAGAGCCTCAACAGGTCCCTTCCTCCCAGTAAAGAAACACTCCTTGTCTTACTGGGCAGGGGGAGCACCCAGCTCAGCTCCTGAGGCCAGAAGCCTTCACCAGGTGGATCACAGCTCAGCTGCAGAAATGGCACTGCCCCATGGAAAGACCCCAGCTAATCCTCAGCAGATGGCACAATGCCAGAGGCTTGGCACAATGCCTTACCTATTTTTGTAGCACTATAAATATTTTCAATGGGAAACACCTCGCCCAATCCATACAGAAGAACTTTGGCAAGAGCTGGCATCAGTTGGGTGGTTGTGATCAGGATGTTCTCACAGTTTTTTCTGAAAGAAGAAAAACATTTCTAACAGCATATCTACAGGCAGTGGTGCCAGGACTGCTCTGGGCAGTCTGATCAGCTTCAGGTGCCATGTGCTTTGCTGTCCTGCTTTCAAGAGGCATTTTAGGACAAGGTTTTGCAATTTTTGTTTGTTTGCTTCTGGCAGAATTCCCTGTCAGAAAAATCAACGGAACATTTCTAACAGCATATCTACAGGCAGTGGTGCCAGGACTGCTCTGGGCAGTCTGATCAGCTTCAGGTGCCATGTGCTTTGCTGTCCTGCTTTCAGGAGGCGTTTAGGACAAGGTTTTAGGACAATTTTTGTTTGTTTGCTTCTGGCAGAATTCCCTAAGAGAAAAACCATGAGCATGGGGACCTTGCTAACTACAGGTGTTGCAGCAGAGAAACACAGGGTGGAGTTCTTGGCCTCAGTCACTGCAGCAGTGTGACAGGGGCAGTGCCCAGCACAGTGCTGCACCTCAGGGCCACAAAGGGCTGAGAAAGCCTCACATGCACTTCCAGGTTCCATACCTGGACTGGATGAGCAGCAGGGATTTTAATGCAGTTTCCAGCCAGGAATCTGTCAGCACTTCTATGTCAGTCCTCAGGCGCTGCAGAGCTTCCCTCTTCTGTGGGCTGAGCAGGCCTGCAAGGTGAGGAACATGGGTTTGCCAAGCCTGACATGGGAGGGCTGTCCCCCAGTGCACCAGCTGCCTGCTCTGCAATAAATAACACAACTGAAGGCCTCTGGAAGCTGGACTGTCTGTGTCAAAGCAAGGAAAGAAACCAGCTCCCAGTGACATGACGAGCCCAGACATCTATCCAGGACTCTGACCATGGGAACTGGGCAGACTCTTAGCTGTGATTATTTCAAAGCATTTCTCAGGATGCAGGCAAAGGCACTTCTCTCATACAAAGCACTTGCAGTAGCAGCGGTCCAAGGCCACAGAGCAGGGGAAGGAACTCCTACAGTCTCCCTCTCTGACTTTCTGCTTTCCAAGGACCCTTTCCACTTTAAGCCCTTTTACATTTTTTTTACTACCCCCCCCTTCTTTTAATTGCTTTTAGATACCATTTTCTTCAAGCCTCCAGTTTTGAATTAAAAGCATACAGAAGTGGAGCCCATTTCTGCTCCCGACAGTAAACACAGTAAGAAAGGAGCACATGGAGCCTGCACATCTCTCCAATCTCCATCCCTGATGTTTGAGCCCCCTCACTCCAGCCTTCTGCTACACAGGCCACAGAGGGACCCACAGCAGGCTGCACTGACAGCTGCTTCATCATGTGGCTTTCCACAGGTCCTGAAAAACTCTGCATCCAGGTTTCCCACAAGCAAATACAAAATCATGGTCTGATCCCCCCTACAAGAAATCAGGTAACTGCAGCACACTGAACTTCAGACCTATACTGGCAGATTTTTAAGGCTGAAAGCTGTAGCTTTGAACAGCTGGATTTTAGAAAATATGTCCCAAAAAACCCATTTATCAAGGTTTTTGTGTAGGCAAAGGGTACCCAAGCACACAACCAACCAGGCCAAGCCACCCTACCAGGTGAGCTGCCCCAGTAACGTTCCTATTGCAGGGGTGGCAATGCCAAGATTCAGACTAAACAGAAAATTCATCTCCATTTGCTCACTATGGTTTGCATGATTATGACTGCTTTGGAGTTGAAAGGGAAGCAAAACTAAAAGGCTTTAAGTGACTTTGTGGAGAGAGAGAAGAGAAGTCCATATCAAGCTGTGGGCCTGACAGCCCAGGGGTGACCACTGTATTTCCTGACAATGGCATGAGCAAAGGCAGACTTTGTGGAGACAGGAATGAGACCTGAGCAGCAGGGCAGAGGAGTCATTCAGACCACTGCTGAGCAGAGTGCCAGGCAGCCTTTCATACCCAATTAGCAAAGGGATAATATCTGCACCAAAACCTTTGCCTCTAGGACTGAGTGCCCATCCTTATGGCCACAATAAATCACAGCCTGCACTGGCACACTGCTCAGTTTTGGAAGATGTACCCTCATGGAAACTTGATCCCAGTTACTACTAGAGAGAATGCTTTACTTGTCACATCCACACATCAGGAAAGCCAAAGCCCTGAGGAAGGATGGAGTCTGGCCCCACAAGCTCTGATCAGTGCCCAGCCCTCGGTGCAGGTGACCACTCACCTCCAACGTTCGTTTTGTATTTGTTGTAGATCTCGCGCACCCTGCGGTAGCGGAAGGCCAGTTTCCTCATCCAGTCCACGCCCTGCACACCCACCGAGGAGCTGTGGTTGGCATTGCCTCCCGAGCCACTGAACCCATCCGTGGAGAAGTTGTAGTTGCTGTTCCAGGAAAGCAGATGTGTTAGGTGTGCCACAGCAGCAGAACCGCTGCGGCATTTCTGGTGAGGCAGCAGCTGGAGAACACCTGGAGAGGAGCTGCACAAGCACCTTGGCACCTGCAGAGCAGAGCCTGGCTCCTGAGGGAATGCAGACACCCAGCTGCAGCTGCTGCTGCCTCTGAACTGCTGCACTGGTACAAGTCCTTTCACCCCCTCCACTACAAAGCTTCCTTTGCTCTTTGGCTGCTCACTCCTCTGCCATAGGGAGCATTCTCCCCACTGACCCCTTCCTTATCCTGCAGCAATAAACCCCAGCACATCATCTTCCAAACAGCATCCATGCCTTCCCATCACAACTGCAGCTCCACAAGCACAGGAGCTGCTTCACCAGTTTATAACTGCAGAAAGCAAGTCCTGCTTCACCACTTTCCCTGTATTTCTTTCTCCCTGACAGATCTTTCTCAGAATTTTTCATGAGCCAGTTCAGCTCAGTAAAAAACCTGCCACCCCCTGTTTGACAGTGAGCACCATAAGCTGTCAGAGGGATGCAAACCACAGTGGGACTTTCAAAGATCAATATCATGGAATCACAGGATGGTTTAGGTGGGGATAGGACCTTCAGGATCATCTAATTCTAAACCCCTGCCACAGGTAGGGACTTTTTCCACTAATCTAATTAGAGTAACCATTAGATCAAGTTACTAATCTAATGCTGTCATCATGAGATCTGAAGTGCTGGCTCTCCATTCCTCACTTGTCACTGAGCACAGAGGCAGCATTCAACAGTGGACAATGTAATTCACACTATCATTTCAAAACTCTTAATGCTTTTTAGGTCTTCAAAGAAATCCCCCTCGGCAAACACTTTGCCAGGTTTCATCCCTGGCACAATGCTGAGCTCCATCCCTTAACCCCATCTGCATTTGAAGTCTTCACAAAACCTGATTACATCAGCAATACATTTCCCACATTCATCAGTACAACCTTAGATCCTGGCCATTGTCATCAGATGCCACATCTTCTATGTGTACCTGGTCACACTCCTGTTAAAGACAAAAACATCCCAAAATAAAGTCATGTTGTGGTAATCCAGAAACACGCTGACATCTGCACATTAAAGAAACTGTGACAGAAACCAACCCCTTCACACTTCCCAACAGCAACAAGCTATGCCACACTGCCAAGTGCTCAGCAGTCCAGAAATGCAAATACAGGATGGATCAAACATCACTCTTTTTATTTGTACAGGTTCAAGCAAAAACCCAGCAGAAACTGAGAGAGCTTGTGGCACTGAAGGCTGCAGAATGCCTGTCTCAGTTAAGAGTGCCCCCCTGATTTGGCTGTGCTTACAACAAGCAGTAAGAGGCTCTGAAGCACAGAGCCCTCACATTACAGAGTGAGGTGTAATTCTGACATGGTAATGTGGAGTTCTGCCTTTCAAACACATTTGCCATGTACCTCCAAGTCATTGAAAAACAAGTGAGTATCAGCAACTTCAAAAATCATCTCCTCCATGGACAGACCTGAGCCAATCACTAGAGTTGGATCCTGGAAAAACACAAAATTAAAATGTAAATGCACTGTGGATACAGGCAGAAGGGAATTGTCATAAATTTCTCATCAGTTAAATTGCACAGAGTTTTCCACTGTATATCAAACCTGGCATAATTCCAGCTACATTCAATGGTGTGAACTACAATTTCCCTAGTATTTTAAACAACTGAATTAAAAAAAAAAAAAAACCAAAAAAAACCCCAAATACTTCCGTGCCCCACAGGAGAGACTGACACATTTTCACAGTCAGCACACACAAAACATTCAAAAATCTACAATGTTTTTGGCAGAGAAAAAACACTTCTTTCCCCTATGTGCAAGGACCTCATTTATTCCCACTGAGGATGAAACCAGTCTGACAGACTTGCACTGTAAGAAGGGACATGTTGGTGATGTCCATGTCCTAGCTCTGTATAAAGCCAAATTTAGTTCTTTCCCTGCCCCAAACTGACAACAACTTAAAAGTACCACCATAGAGAGTTTAAAAAAAACCCAAAACCTAAACTATTCCTTCTCCAAAGACTAACATTTAATTCTGCATGACAGAAATAGGTTTTCTTCCATGGAAAAGACAGTATTACCTTGCCATATTTTTGAGCATAAGACCCTGTGAGAAGAGAATGGAAGATGATGATGGTCTCATCCAGGTCCCAGAGAAACACCCGCTGCAGAGAGAACAAGAACAGGTAAGAGCTGAGACATTCCAGGCACTGAACTGCAATAAAGGAACAAGTTTTAATTTTGTGGTTAGCTGCAGTATGCTTTAACAGGTATGAACAACAGGTGTCATCTTACAGGCTGAACACATTCAACTCTTCAGTTCATTGCAGTGGAGTTTATTCACTGCCACAGAAGCACACATTCAGGCTATGGCTGTTTGGTCAAACTATTTCAAAAGCTTCTCTTGCTTTTATAGCTATGAAAGTAAAGCTTAGAGTGCTAATAGATTTTAGAGTCCTGCTGAGGTGAAGTGTGCTTCCTGTGATCTGGAGAGCACCAGGTGCATGCCCCTGGTGTTTGTCAGAGAAACCTTTGTTATAAATAAGGCAATGGGCTGCCATGAGGAATGGCAGAGTTTTGGTACAGAAGGACTTTGACACTGAGAGCTGGGCCAACATGTGGGGTGGAAAAACCCCTCACACTAGTCCAGGCTGAAGGAGCTGGAGGGCAAACTGGACACCAGTACAAGCCAGCAGCACTCTCTCCCTGTGGAGCAGGTGACTTTCCTGCTGGAGTGTGCCATGTGTACTAGAAAGGAGGTGATGTCTCAACCTGTTTGCCACTGGGAAGGTTATCCCAGACTGTATCCCTGGTCCCAGGGATCTGTGAGGAAATGAGAGTTGCCAGCAAAATGCCTTTGAGATGGTCAGCAGCCCACAGGAGAGGCTAAGGAAACTGGGATGGCTTATCTCAGCAAAGAGGAGACTCAGGGACATCCAACAGGAGACCACAACCAATTAAAAGGGAACTCCAAAGGAGACAGACAATTTCTTTTCAGTAGTGGCAGAGGGCAAATTGCTGTGAAAGAAAAGGGGGAAATTTGCAGCATGGGAGATTCCAAGTGGAGACAGACAACCTCCTTCCCTGGGTGGATGTGGTAGTGCTGGGACAGATCACTGGGTACAGGATCTCACTGTCTAGGTACAGCATCTTCAGCCCTGGAGGCTCTTGTGGCTCAGGCAGACAAAGCCACAGCCCCAGTGCTGGGGACTATTTACCTCCAGTTCACTGTCCTGTGAGGAGGAGGTATCTGCTTTCCTCTTCCCTCTGTTCTTTCCAGGGATGTTTTTCCTTGCTTGCTCATCTAACTCTTTACTTGCTGTTGCTCTTGGTAGCAAAGGACTTGTGGATGCATCTCCTGGAAGAAAGAAATCACACAGCTCTCATCCCCTTGTGTCTCAAAACAAACACCAATAGAGCACTGGCCACAAACCACCTCAGCAAAAGCTAAGATGCAACTTTACTATGTGGATGCAGTAATAGTTGAACCCTGATTAGGACATAAACCATGATTTCTTTGTCCCATCATTTCAAAACAGCTGTTTCCTCAATTCAGTCCCCCAGAACTGAGCTATTGCAAGAGCTACTGCCTGCAGAGCAAAGCCAGAGCAGAGCAGTCATTTCACTACCCTGGAACTGCTCTATACTCAACTATGTCTATTTTATTTAACAGACAGTTGAATGTAAAAGAGCAACAGTGATGATGCTGGCCCTGGAGACACAGCCTCGGCCAAGCAGCATGGCCATGACTGACAGGGACATGGGATGGAGCCTGTTCAGCTACTGCTAAGAACACCCTTCTTAGAGAAGGAGTACATCACCTCCTGCACCCTTCTCTCCTGCAGCCAGGTGTTCAGAGCTCCCTCTCCCTGGGGCACACAGAGTAGTGCTAGGGGGAATGGCAGCAGTAGAAGGCTTCTGGCACACAAGTTTGGCTGGCCCACCACAATACTCTGCACAGCAGTGAGACCAGGAAGGCCTCAGGAAGGTTCTGACAAGGAACTCAAGTGTCCCATTGGGCCCAGCATGCCAAGATGCTGCAGGTACCTTCTGGAGATGTTTCCCCAACCTGCCCCCTGCACTGTTTGGCACAGGGAGTTCACAGACCCAGCCTTACCAGAGGAAGGTCTCTGCACTGCCCGTGCTGGCACCAGGGCATTTGGTTTCTCCTCTGGGTACGTGGTGGTGGCTAATGCCAAGCTTTCTGTGCTGCTGTCTGCTGGTGGCACCACTCCAAAGCCTGAGCTGGGGTAGCAGGTCTGGTACTGGCTCTGGCCAAGGATGGTGTATGTAGGATATTCCTGTTGGGAAAAGAGTTAGTGATGGTAGGACACCTCATTCAGAAAACACTCTGAATCTCTGACTTTTGTATTAGAATATCCTGTCCAATAAAAATCCCAGCAAGAGCACAGTCTGACTTTATGCTGTTTCATTCTGCATATTAAGACATCCCCAAAAAGGGCTGAGAGCTCTGGCTGCCCAGTGGCCCCTGCAGAGGCAGGTTCTGCAGAGGAGACCAGTGATCACAGGGCCATTCCTCTGCTTCCAGTGTCTGCACAAATCCATTCATAATGACTGAAGTGACAGTAACAGGGGAGTTGAGTGGATGCCAAGACATCAGTGCACTCTGTGCTCTGGAATGTGTGGCTTTGTCTTGCATTTGACAGTGACAGAAAGTGACCTTGGCCTCTCTGAGGGCACAGCTACAGGATAAATGGCCCTTACTCATGTGCTGACTTCATCAAGCAATAATTCTGCATGCTGGAAGGTATCCATTTATGAAAACTACTTAGTTCATTTAGGAGATTGCTCAGCACCTGGAGCTGTGCTTGAGGATTTTAACTTCTGCTACTGACAGTAAAAAAACAAAACAAAACAACCACATCACACTCTTCTGGTACACAGTGCTCTCCTGATTCCCCTGAAGAGCAGCCTGGCTTTGTGAACCAGGTACCTTGGTCTGAAATACTGAAAGAAAATCTTTCTTTCCCCTTACAGTTCCAAACAAGTTTATGTTTAAAAAGCAACAGCATAAATATAGAAGGATTTTTGTGCATCCCCTGCATTTTCCACACTTCCTGTATTCTCTTTCTGAAAAGCTGGACACTGAAGGCTTCCTTTGTATAACCAAGTACTCAGAATGGCAGTTAACCACCCACAGAGGAGAAAAGGCAGGGGGAAATGGTCTTTGCTAGCTTGCAGGGCTGTCTCACTTTGTTCTAGTCTACCATCAGAATGCACACTCCACTTTATTGGGTTGGGGTTTTGTTTGTGTACAACCTCATTTCCCATTCTTGCTGAGGGAGAACAAAGGCATCCAAAAAACATCCAACTCTAATCCTCCCTGCAGGTTTAGGCCTCAAAATAGCTGAATTGTTTCTTCCCCACCATCTCTCTTGCAGAGATCTCAGTTTTAAGACTCACCTCACAATTTGCAGATGAGGCAACAACTTTAAACAGATGAAGTGAGTGTGTTGCAAAACCAAAGGCAGAAGCATCATGGTCAAAGAGACAGCAGGAGTGATTTGGTGATTTGAGTTACACACTGAGCCCCACAGCCCCAGTACCACTGTGCTCCATTTGAAGTGACATTGCCATGTTAGTTTTGAGCAACGTGTTAAACAAAAGCAGAGGAGATGGTGCACATAAATTTACCAAGGAAGTTTTACCTGTGAGATGCTGGCTACTGCTGATGTGGAAATATTGACAACAGTTGAGGATGTAGAGACTGGACTGGCATTGGTGGTTGATGCTGTAAAATTGAGAATTACTGCATTAAATATTCTAGAAAAGCATAAGAAATGAGAAGGTGTGAAATAAATACTTACTAGGCAAATGTGCAAGCACTTGTGCTTCCAGCAGCACTCTGCTATCAACACCCAAAAAAGGACTGGGTGTATTTTGACACCAGTCATATTTCAGATGGGTTTACAGGAAAGAAGAGCTAGTACATCTTTAAAAACAGTCCTTCCCAATGGTTCAGAGACCTTCTCCCTCTATGGTTGCTAAGCAATTGGTGTAGAATTAAAAAGGTTTTACATCTTTACTACATGTTTTGATAGGACAACAGTCCCATTCTGATGATCAATCAGTAGCAGATGAAAATGAATCAGAATAAATCAAGAAAAAGAACATAATGTGTTTAAATCAGTTCTGTTAAAAAAATCTGCATCAAACTTAGCATTTTTAGTCTAATTAGATTTAAAATTTAAGGAAACATTAAGAAGTTCCAAATAGTAGAAACAGAGTGTTTCCTGTTGGAGAAGGTGAGCATCTCTCCCAACATTCCTGTGTCTAGAACAGCTTTTTGGATGTGACTTTCTGAAATAATCTGTCAACAGGTACAGAATGAATTCTTAAGGATGTGTAGTTGTTGGCACCAACTTGAAGATGTTTCCTAAGCTTTGTGTCACTGCATTCAGTTCTCCCAAAACACAGAAGTGGCTGCTAGAGCAGCACTTGGGAACACCACTGATTTAGCAGTTTTTGGGGGATTGCAGACACAGGACCACTCCATTAAACATTCCTCAACATGAGGTTTTGGGACTCACAAGGATAATAACAAATAATTAAATCAGCAGGAAAAAAACCAGAATGTACAAAACCAGATACCACCAAGAACTATTTTCTTTTCTAAACCACTTTCCTCTGCACAATAAAACCAAAAATTCACTTTTAGATGCTTATATAGACTTGCAGAAATTCACAGTATTCCCTACCTTACCATCACTGAGAAAAAACCTTATTTTCTGCAAACACCACCACACAAAATTCACCCCAAGAACTCAAGCTTCGGAAGGCTTCAGTCCTGCTCCCCCAGGAAAACAGCCACCATGAACTCTTAATGAGTGTATGCTGTGCTATGGCAAGCACCAATACTACCTGGTGCCTCCTGGAGAGAAATGGATCCAAAATACACCTCAAAAAAGTTAAGAAAACAAAAGAAACAGATCTTAAAAGATCTAAATGTGTAGAAATACACAGGATTTACAGGAGATGAGAAATATGAAGGGTGACATCTCTGTGGAAGCAGAAACAAAGGGGAGTAATTAGCCCCAGAAACATTTAGAAAAAGGCAAAAGGGCTGCACTGAACAGCAATAATGGCAGTGAAGACACTCAAGGACCTACAGCAGCTCCACAGGTCCTTGAAGCCCAGCTGTGTGAGCCAAGGAACCTGTCACAGACACACCTCATAAACAACTGCTCAAAAACAGGGGAAGTTTCCAAATAAAGCTCCTTCCAATTATGGAAACTATCAAGGTTCTTATCACCCTAAGAGGAGGTCCCTATGAAGCTCAGCTCTCCAGAAAAGACCCTTGCTAACTGAACAAACCTGCCAGGCAGCCAGGGCAGAGCAACTCTCTGGGAAACACTTACACCACTGCTCTCAGGACTGTTGTGGAGAGGAAACAGAAAGTGATTCTTATCTGTAACGCTCTGCAGAGGCTGCTTCACCACTGAGATTGATTACAGAAGTTAAGAAATGAGAAAAAAGATTTGGCATTCCCTCACACAAACTTCATTGTTTATCTTAACTCTGGTCTCCCTCCAACAGGTCTTTTTAATAATCCTGTATCTAAACATTGCTACATACCAGATTTTTTTTCAAACAGTTCCCACCACACAGATGAACCAATTCTTTCTGCACTGTGGGCCACTTCCTTTTACCTGTGCATGGGCCAGAACCATGCAAAAATATTTGCCAAGGATTTGCCAAACACGACCTCAAGGGCTGAGGTTTAAAGACCAGCAAACACAAGTACTGCATTAAAGATGCCATGACTCTTTTCTCCTTTCTTTATCCCCCATTTCAGACCTCAGACATTACATCCCTGCCTCCTCTATTTTATTAATCCAAATCTACTTTGCTTCAATCATTTTCAAAGAGCCAAAGCCAGAACCATGCACTGAAATTCCCCTCCAGTGGCTCAGCACCATTGTACAGCTGTGTTTCACCCTGTTGATTTGAGTGGAGAGAAAAGACAGATATTCCAGGGATTACCACTGAAACAACTCTGTCCATCCTTCCAACACCTCCCTGGCACCAGTCCCTCTACTGACCTGAACCCTTGGTGGGCTGCTTGAGAAGGAAATATAGCAAATCTGAAAAAGGATTTTTCCTTTTTGCGAGTCTGCAAAGAGTTTTTGCAAAAAGCAACAGCATTTGCACAATTGGAGTGACTTTTGCACACTTTGGGGTGACTTGTATACTTTCAGAGAGCAGCCTGCAGGGAAATTTCTCACATCACACATTCTCCCAGCAGCACAGATTAAAATTCTTCTCCTGTGTGAAACCCTGACAAAGCTGGGGTTGAGCAGTTTGCAGAAGAGAAGACTCCAGGGAGACCTTAGAGCCCCTTCCAGCATCCAGAGGAGATCAGAGAGAGCTGGAGAAGGACTTTGGACAAGGGATGGAGTGGCAGGATAAGGGGGAATGGCTTCCCACTGCCAGAGGGAAGGGTGAGATGGGACATTGAGAAGGAATTCTTGGCTGTGAGGATGCCCAGAGAAGCTGTGGCTGCCCCTGGATCCCTGGAAGTGTCCAAGGCCAGGCTGAACAGGGCTTGCAGCACCCTGGGATAGTGGAAGCTGTCCCTGCCCATGGCAGAGGGGTTGGAGTGGGATAATCTTTAAGGTCCCTTCCAGCCCAACCAAGTCTGTGATTTTATAACTCTACAGAGCAAGGCCTGGCATGGATCTGTCACCTCAGCACCCCCAGGGATCCACCTGCCCCCATGGGACATCACTGGGCAATCTGGCATTCCTGACCCTTGGCAATTCCAGCTGGTGCTGGGACACAGGAAGTCCTTCTGCTGCTGGGACTGTGGCAAGGAGGGTTATGCTGCAAGAAGGGAGCATTTCCAGTATTGCTTTCCTTTTATTTAACTAATTTAATTCCAGGAGTGGTTTGCTCAGTGCCAAGATGCAGAAAGTTGTTTTCCCACAATCAATGAATAAAACTCTGATCCTGCTGCTTCTGGAGCCCGTGTGCACTCACAAAAAAAATGATCAGTTCATTGCAGTTAACAATATGAATGCAGTTTTGCATGTAAAATTGAATTAAGGATAAATACTACACTGGGCCACTGACTGTCTCAATAATGCAAGCTGAGCAAGTACCACAGCATACCACATGACTTTCCTCTGTGAGAGACATGCTAAAACCCACTCACTGCTAATTTTAAGAATAATCCTCCTTTTCTTGGCTCTCATGAGACCACATCTCGTTGTGGCATTCAGTTTGGTCACCCCAGCACAAGAAACATGTTGATAAAATTCAGTGGGTCTGCTACAGAGACACCAAACCAGTCAGGGATGTGGGTCTGCTAAAGAGACACCAAACCAGTCAGGATCTGGAGAATGTGTCCTGCCAGGGGCATTTCAGGGCAGAGGGACTGTCCAGCCAGGAGAGGAGGTGGCTTTAGGGACTTGCTGCAGCCTGCAGGTTCCTGCATGGACATTAGGGAGAGGACAGACACAAGCTCTTTTTGCAGGTGTGCAGCAGCAGGAGGAGAGAAATGGCCAGAACATGGAAGAGGGAAAGCTCTGAGTCAACAAAAGAAAACAACATTTCATCATAATGACAGTCAGGTGCTGGAACTGGCAAAATTTCCATCCTTGGAGGTTTTGGAGATGTAGCTAGATAAAGCTCTGAGCAAGCTGGTTCTGAACTCTGTATCAACTACTCTTTGAACAGGAAGCTGAACTAAAAATTTCCTCAAGACCCTGATTTATTTTGTGAAAATATTCCACAAGACATAGATTACAAATTCCTGAAATGCTTTACAAAATTTCCAGAGAAAGAGACAAACTTTCACCATTTGTCACCAAAACTTAAATGGCAAATTCCAGCCTACGGAAGAGGTATCAATTTGCACATATGTGCCATAAGCAAAAATATTCCATTATTCAGCTGTCTGGCATATTCACTCCTAAAAACTGCTGTGGAAGCTGGTGAAATTCAGCACCTGCCTTCTTCGATGTGGCACTTCCAGCAATTATAATATTTGAGTGGTAGTTCTATACTGAGAAATTCACTTCCTAGCAGATCTACCAACCTGGTGTCTGTGATATTCAAGAGCCATCTACCTCCAGAAAGAATCAAAAACAAATGTTTAAAAATCTCACTGCAGTCAGCATACTTCCTGACATCAAACTAAAGACCACAAACAAAGAGAAATGCAAGAGCATTCCCAAAAAAGCATGCAGGAACACAACATGGAGTCTCTTTCCCCTTCCCATTTGCTCCTCACCCTGCTCAGCCCAGCAGCATGGCACCAACGAGCCAGCCTGGTGCACACACAGGTGTGAGGCAAACACAAACCCACAGACACACAGGCACAAAGAGAAAAGAGGCAAAGCATGAAGAAGCATGCACAAACCAAGGACAAGCGTGCAAGCCTCTCTAGTTTGGTATCTGGACTCAGTTAGGTGGAGAGAGATGCAGATAAAAACCATGCCAAGTTACCTTCAATGGAATAAGAATAATGTGCTGGGCTGGGCTGGCTTGTGGTTAACCCTGTAGTGCAGGTAAGAACACTGTGCTGACTTGTAGATGGAGTCTGAATTAAACCACTTTCAGGTTTCATACCTGGCCACAGTGCACCTGAATCAGATAAATTGGACCAGTTACAAACAAATATGCTGGGACCAAACAGCATGCTCCTACCTCAGATTAAGATTTTTGCTCATCACAAAAGCAAGTAACAAATGACACATGGAAAATGTTTAATTTTGGCAACAGTAAGCGCTGACTGTCAGGCTGTGCAGGGATTAGAGCTGGTGACAAAATGGCTGAAAAAGAGAAAATTAAAAGCACCAAGAAGACTAACTTGCAAAGCTTTTAACTAAAATCTGTTGGTGTCTCTAAGATTCACTGCCCATGCAGATAAAGGACCTGCCAATGGCTGTGATTTTGGGCTGAGCTGCACAGCACTGCAAGTGACATCAGCTGTCACACAGTGAGGCCAAAGCTGGGATCTGTGAAGGCCAAGCTCAACACCTCCACTACTTCACTGAGCTTTGGGATGAATATTTCAAACCAAGCTACAAGTCAGTAATTTTCCTAGACTGACAGCAACAAATATAGAGCTAAAAAAAAATAATCTGAACCTTTCTTCCAGACTTCCTGTTGTTTTGGAATGCTTTTGTAATAATCCTGGGCACAGCACAGAGAGCACAGTGACTGTAATTTTGTGTACAGGGCACACTCAGCATGTGGCTGAGCTCAGGTGCTGTGTTCAGGTGAGGGCTCTGCACTGATGGGTGCCAACAGTGCCCAACTGAGGCAGCTCAGCTCAGGCCTTGCTCTTCAGGCTTTCATTTGAGTGTCCCCAAATCTACAGCCAAAGTCAAAGGTAGTTCTCCCTGGTTAGGAAGCAGAAATATTTTGAGAGGATCTACTTACAAACAAGCAGGAGTGTGCAAAGCAGAGGACAAAGGACATTTGGAGCTAGACAGAGTTCAGGGCCATCAGAAAGACCACCCTCCTTTTTAAACACCCTGAAAACAGTACCAAGGCTGCAGAAGCCACCTGCAGCCCTTCAGCTCCTCCAGCAGGATTGAGCCATGGGCTGTGAGCTCCAGGTTTCTTACCTAAAAGACATGGGAGACTCCATCAAGCTGGACATGAGCAGCAGCTCCAGGAGGTCGCTCCATGCTGCAGCCTTGTCAGAATTAAATTCTGCAATGGCCCTTTAATTTATTTATGTATCTGATCTCAAACTGACACCTGAAAGTCAACTTAAATCACTCCTCTCTGCACAGTCACCCCAGAGTTGGACTCTTTGACTCTCACGTTGTGTCTCTGTTAAAGTTTCAAACCTCCAGAACCAAAACAAAAAGGAAAGGCTGACTTAAGAAAGACTGTAGATACACTGCAGAAACTCCAGAACAAAACATATGGGAAGAAGATCCTCCAAGGGGCGTGGGAGTAGCTGTGTTTGTTTAGCCTGGAAAGGGAGTGCCACCATCTCCGAAAGGGTGAGCAGTTTTCACACAGGACAGTAACCAGAAGCTCCTTAGGGCACAAGAGAGGGACAAGGAGCAGTCAGCAGCACAATGTGATGGTCACACGACGTGCAGAAGTGCCAAACAACCTGACAGTGAAACAGAAACCCACCCTGGACGCTGGGGGACAATGAGCACAGGGCCAGTGGCAGCAGGTCAGACACACAGAGGTGGTGGCAGTGCAGGAGCTGATTCAGGTCCTGTGCTAAGGCATCTTTCAGCCCCTGCCTTCCATGACTGTCTTGCTGTTACACACATGTCCTATATGCTTTCTATACCCAGGCACACTCCTGGACTGGTGGCAAACGTCCTTCCCCTCTCATTCTGCAGGAAGCATCATAAGCCAGCCTCACACCACAGCCTCAAGGATGATGGAGGAGAAACTGTGAGAGGGGGAACGAGATTCTTCCCTGTCCAATGGCAGCACTGCATGTCACAGAATGTCCCAGCACACATCCACAGACATGGAAAGGCCCCACACAGGACACCCCAGCACCTGTAGGTTTTTCTTGAGTTAATGTAAGCCATCACATCCATGGTGCTTCTAACACCAGCTTACAGCTACACAAATGCAGCCTGGATGCCATTACTCTTCCTTTAATTTAATAAAATCTCTCCAGACCACAAGGGCATCCCATGTAGAACAATGCAGTGAACACCAAGAGAGGTGACAAATCAGCAACAGCACAGGTCAACCCCTTCTCTAAAAGGAGCATCCTGACTTCAGCCACCTCCAGACTACGCTGGTGTTTGTCAGCTTGCTTGAATTTCATGCTGGTTTGTTCCAGTTAGAGAACTCATGGTGCCTTCTTTCTGGCATAGAAACAAATGCAAGGTAGAAAGACACACCAACCTCTGTAACAAGCCCTCTGGTGCTGGTAAAACATGTCACCAAGCTGTTGGCCCTCACCTGCTCACTGGAGGTTTTGTGAGCAGAAACAATTTCCAGAATTCCCTCAGCAGTGTGCATGTTCAATCCTCTACCTTCTACCTCTCCATCAAACCATGCAAAGTCCATCCTCTCAGCATAACTCAGCAGGTACCACTCCACTGTGATTTTAATTACTGGAAATAATGACTTTTAACATCTTCCCAACACTTGATTTCACACTAAAAATTCAGGTGTTTAACAACATACCTCAAAATTAACATCAGACATTTCAGTAACTGATGACATTTTGGATATTTTAAAGATGAAAGCTCCTTTGAAATGAATAGAAAATGCAGATCTCCTTCCAGGTCTTCAGAAGAATTTCTAATGTCACATTCAGAATATAATATTGAAGCAGCTCAGTACCCCTGCACTCCAGACCCTTTGCTTTTAAAAAAATGAACACTCCCCCCAAATATAGCCACCACTCATTCAACCAACAAAACATCACACACACAATACACTAAAAAAAAACCCCTACACCTTCCCTCCCTCCTTCTAGAATTAGAGAAGTCTAAACCACTTTTTTAAACAACTTCACTGGAGCACTCCACACAATTACAAATATTTGGCTTTAAAAATACCAACATGTGACACACAACAGCACATGAAGCAGCCTCAGTGCACCATGCACAACACACTAGCAAAAAACACCAAATAAATGAAGCAAAGGAAACCATCAGCCACTGTTCAGAAACAGCAAAAAACAGACAACAAGGCACTGAAGCCAAAGTGCAGGCACCCAGTGAGGAGGAGTATGTTCCAGCAACCATCAGTAATTACAGTATTAGTAATTTAACTTATGTTTAACAAAGCCAAGTCTGGATTTATTATCTTTCCTACACCATCTTTCAAATATATAATGACAAATCAATTGTTTTGTAACCTTTACAAAAGGCCATGCTCTGTCAGCAGCTAACAAAAGCCAGAAATGTAGCTGTTTTTATTCAAAGGCACCTAATTCTTTAACTAGAGAAAAATTCATCCTTACACACATCAAGGTACTGAGATTTTAGCATTGCAGATAAATCTGCAAGAGGCCCAGTGCATATCACTGTGCAGTACAACCACAAGCCCCTGAGACATATATTTAGAATCACAGAATGGTAAAAGTTGGAAAAGACCTTTAGGATCATCAACTCCAACCATGAATCCAGCACCACCATGTCCACCACCAAACCATGTCCTCTGCAAGGGGTGGTGACTCCACCACTTCCACAGGCAGCCAGGGTGCTCCCCCAGGTTCCCTGCATGGTGGTGGGATGCTCTCCCCTCTCATCAGTGTTCCCTGCTGAGGGATAAAACAGCCTCTGCTCCCTTCCATTTTTGGGAGCTGCATTTGCAGAGACTGGAATAGCTATCAAAAGGGCTCAGTTATTAGAGCAAATTAAGCAAATTATCTGCCTAGTAAACTTGGAGACATTTTAGCACGAGCTCTCATTTGGTGAAAGATGAAATAAAAATGTCTTAATCGTGGACAACAACAAGGAAAGGAGAAAGGAGAAGTTGTAGTATGGGGTGTTGTGTCATTTCACTAAGAAGGAAACTGCACAAACACAGCTATACCACAACCAAAGATAATTATGATCCCAAACCAAGAACCATATGGCACACTTCATGGGGAGATCCAAAGTAACAGCTTTGTAAAAACTCTTATTTTTTAAGTGGAAGCCCCATCAAGAGATCAATGCCCATCTACAATTTAAGCTATGCATGTGCTCTCCTACAAACTTCTCTCCAGCATAAGTGGTTACGTTTAACACTGGCTTTTTAATGAGACATAAAACAGTAACTGCAGGCACAGAGAAATCTTTGAGAAGTCACTTTTTACCGAAAGGAGGTAGTCCGTAGGTCTGGGTGGTCTGGGGGTAGATGGTGTAGGGCTGGGACTGCTGCAGTGCTTGGTACTGAGGCTGAGCAGGGTAAGGGCTCATTGTTTCTGACACTGGTACAGAAAGGATATGTGCATATGGCCTTGGTGAAAAGAGAGAACAAAAGTCAGAAAGAACTGTTTACATTATGCAGCTTTCAGCCTTCAAACCATAAGACACATTCAAAAATTGCTCCAGAAAGGAGAAACTACTCAGACTGACATGTCCTCTTGGTGCAATAAGCTCCTTGTGCTTCCCAAGGCAGACTCTTGAGTTTACAGATGCTGCCAGCTTCCTGTGGTGACAGCAGGGAAACTCCCTCCTCCACAGTGCCAGAGAAGCACTGCCCATCCAGGACTGGGGGGGACACACTCCCCATTCCAACAGGCACGAGCTGTCAGCCCCACTAATCATGCCTCGCCACACCAGACCCTGAAGGTACTGGAATCTAGCAGTACCTGTAAGGACCAGTGGGACACACACAGAAACTACACAAAAACAAGCAGCAGGGGTTAAACCTATCCTGCTCCAACAGGAAGAACTACAAAGATCCCTAAACGCAGTGAATGATGAGAAAATCTTATATTCCCTTTATAATTATTTATGTTCAATTTGTTTATTTGACAAATATCATGTGCATTATTCACCAAGACTATCATGTTAATTACTTGAAGGGCTTCATTTATCTTTTCAAACATAAAACAACAGTTACTAAAGCTAAAGGGTGAATTCTGTAAGTTGTGTCCTCAGCAGTGAGTATCTGCTGCCAATAGTGGGATTTATTGCACTAGAGAAATGCATAAAGATACAAAAAAAGTAAGAGTTACAGAACTCAGTAACAATTTCTTGACTTACTTTGCAGAATACATTTGTGAGGTATAATCATTTGATGACCTTGGGATATAATCAGTGCATGTCATAACTGAAAAAAAAATGGTTTCTGTAATTAGAGAGGTGCTTTCAAAACCCAACAAATAAAGACAAATATCAATACTCATTGTACATTTTAGTCAACACACAGTATTTACAAAGTGTTTTAGTGCCCTGAATATCTGTGTCAAAGCAAATTCTCAAAAACACACTGTTAAACTGGCACAAAAATGTTTTGCCAGCTCACAGCAGGTCCAGGTCAGTCAGTCACACTATTTCCCCCTGTGAAACAGTGCTCTTCCTCTTTATCAACTGGTACCATAATTTTTTGCAATTGTCATTAAAAAAACTGATTTCATTCCTCCCCAAAACTCTGCATATTTGCCAAAGGGGCTTCATCTGCACTAAGTCTAACATTTCTGTGTCCTGGAGCAGAGACCAAACATCTGTTTTGCCAAGCTTTCCTCTTCCCCTACATACTCTACCCATGCATGGCTCCAGCAAACAGCCTTTCCTGCAAAAGGAACAGCTCCAGCTCAATGAACTTAACCACACACATCTAATGAAGCACAGCTGCAGGGCACAAGGCTCAGAGATCCCTCTAAAGTAATCTGGTAGTTACATTTAACCAGATGTTTCCATTTTTCTGCTTCAATAAACCCACAGTAATGGCACCCTGAGACTGGTAAAACAGAGTGGCTCAGCTGGCAGCTCAGGGAGGAAATATTTCAAATGTTCTCAGTCAGCACAGCCTATGGCTCTGGTACTCCTTGTGAGAGAGCTCTGTTACAGCACTCCAGGTTGGGCTGGAGATGGGGCTTGGGCTCCTATGGCTTAATCCAAGAGCCATCAAACAGCCCTTGGATTCACATCACCTGGTTAAACACTCAGCTGTCCATCAGACTAGGAAAGCAACAAAGGGCAGGAACCAGCACAGAATGTGGCCACTGCAGCCTCTCTGGTGTTGCTGTGATATTTTTATGAAAATCCCTTCACCCAGGATTTTTCTCCTGAGAAGCTGAGAAGCCTCAGAAGAAGAGAAAACCAATAATTATCTGCTGCTGTGGAATGCAACAGGTGCATCTTGGATTGGTCCATGTGAGATGTTTCTGCTTAATGACCAACCATGGTCCAGTTGTGTGGATTCTCTGAGAGTCACGAGCTTTTGTTATTCATTCCTTTCCTTTCCAGCCTTCTTTCTACTATTTTTAGTATAGTTTTAGTATAACATTTTAATATAATATACTATCATAAATCAGCCTTCTGAAACATGGAGTCAAGATTCTCATCTCTTCCCTGCTCCTGGGACCCTCAAACACAACCATACTCTGGCACACGCCACCACCCCAGTGCAGCACACTGCTGGCAGCTACAACTGCTGTATTGCAAGCTCATGGCTTTATCAGCTCAGACCTACAAGCACCATACCCACAGCCTCAGCAAACACAGCTGCACTGCTCTGGATCAGCTGGTTCCCCTCTGCAAGCAAAGCACCCAGGGCTTGCCCAGGAGGTAATGCAGGCTAACTGTGTATCCCAGGGGCCCTGCTCCCCACACCTACCATTACAAGGGGTCACATTTTCCCTCTCTCTCTGCAGTGGCTCAATTAACAGCTCTCAAAATGAAACAAGGTCATGGATAACAGCATACTCTGCCTTGGGATTTGATCCAAATGCTAATAATGTGCTCAAAATGTTGGGATTTCCATATTGGACCTGCATTATTGCTCTTGTAAACCCTCCTGAGTTGCACTAAGGAAAGCAAGACAGTGCCACAGGCAGCTCTAACCCTAATGTGCATTCTGCCACCTCTATAACCTTCTCTTTGTGTAATCCGAACAAAAGCAGCTGAGAAGTACAAACCAACATGTGCTGAACCTCCCAAATGATCCATGGATCACCTTCCTCTGCTCCTCAGTGTTTGCCTTTACTCACAGTGTGAAGCCCATGTAGCACAAGGATACAACAGGAAACACAAACTGGGAACATTTGGACCTAAAGGCTTTCCTCTAACACTTGTCAATTCCCACATGTTTAGGATTGCAGGGTTTTTTTTAAGAATGTCAATATTCATCTGAATAGTTATGCAGTAATGATATTTCTAGAACTTGTATTTATAAAACTGCATACAAAGAATTAGGCAATGGTGTAAAAAAGAAAAAATCCCACAATAACACTGCATGTGATTTCTAGGATTTGTAAATGGCTTATCCAGTTAGGCAGGTTTTGCAGGATGAAATTTCTTGTAACTCCTGCAACACCACAGTACATGGATTAAAATAGCAATGATTAAATCAATTACAATGGAAAGTTTCACCTTACACACTTTCAGCTAAGGTGAGCTGACTTACACTTCAAAATATGTATTGGCAGTCAAAGGTATTCCACACAGGAATCTGACTTTCCTGGTAACTTCCAGCCCCCTTTTTCCAAGAGAAAGGATACAGTCCACTTCTCACTTAGTATGCACTCTTTGTATTCCCTGCCTGTCTCCTCTCTGTTTATTTCCTAAAAGCTTTCTGCAGACATTCAATACAATTCAGAGTCTAAGATGAAAAGTATGACATATTGCTAGAAAGGACCCACCAGCTGTGTAGAGATAATGATTTATAAAACATGTTTACTGTAGGCATTACAATTGATATTGACTCAACCCTCAAGAAGAATCGTGTCTGAGGCAGATAAGACACAGCAGCACTCAGAAGCACCCAACAGCCAGCTGAGGGGCAGCAGCACAAAAATATTTGTTAGAAACAGATATTTCCTTAGCATCAGGCATTAACACTTTGTAAACACTACAGCAAACGTTCACTTTACAACTGCTAGTGAGAGCAGGCTAAGGATTACAAGGAGGAGACAAAGCTTGTGGGTGATGAAGCATGGTACCAGGGAAAGAGGAGGAAAGACAATGAGAGAACTGCAGAGATACTCACTCTCACTGGACATGGGAAGGTTTGAGCCAAGATTTGAAGATTCAGTTTTCTGATCGCTGACTTCTGTGCTGCTCACATGACTGCCAGGACAACAAAGGTTCAGTATTAGCATTATGAGCTCTTAAATTAACATCCTTGGGTACCATAACCCCTGGGTTCAACCTTGCTGACCAAGGCAAACTAACTCTTCACAAAACCTAGCCCTGTGCTCCTTGCTGTTTCATGAAGAGATTCTGAGAGAGAGATCTGCAACTGGAACTGGACATCAAACCATATGGGGTTTGAGTAAAAGGGGGACTGCAGGGGTGCTTCTGTGAGAAACACCTCTTGGCATCTCCATTCCATTCCCCCAAGCTGCAGCAGCCAAGGAAGTGCTGCCAGCAGTGGTGTGTGACCCTGCTGCCACAGGCTCCCCTGCCCATGGGCACTGCCTCACTGCTGCGTTTCTCCCTGAAGAGCAGTGTTGAAACACCCTTGAACTAGGGGTCACTTTTGTACTTAAATATTTGCAGGTTACTGGACTATTTTGGACTTGTCCCACATTGCTTCAGTTCCATGATGATGTTACTTTGTTCATGTACAGAGTAAGAAGTACAGGTAATTTCTGAATGAAACTGTTTTGTCCTTGATTACTGCCTTGCAGGCTTTAGTTTTATTATTGCTACTTCTGCAACACAGCTTTTCATGAGGTTTTGAGCCATCTGTGTGCTGTTCTGACATTCTGAAACTGCAGTTTCTTAAGGTGAAGGAGCCAAAGGAGCTGTTCATTGCTGCTCAGGGGGAAACTCCCTCCTTGTAGCTCAGGTGTGCACCAAGCATAGTGCTCTCTGCCTCCCTCCATCCCCTGACTCCATTCAGCATCCCAACAAAAAACAACTGCACAGTTTTGTGTTGGATGAGCAAATTAAACTCTCAGGAAGAGCCTAAAGGTGCCTGAGCTGAACTACACAGGGAGCAGGAGGCTGTATGAGAAACAAACCCAAATCTTGCAACACCTTTCCCCACCCAGCCCTGCTTTCTGGGCTCAACTAAACTGATTTTTTTTTTCTCCCTCCTCTACCTCCTGCAGTGCAGGAGAAAGGGAGAAATAGGTCCAATAAATTCTTTTAAACTAATCCATTGGTCAAACTTAAAATCATGTACAGCTTTATCAAAACAGCTGGAATATTTAAAGAGAATATTTAATCAAGTTAGAAATGCAACTTTATCCCTCCCCTCTCTTCTAATTTTAAATACTGTTCACATTTTAAAATCCAAGGATGTTTACACCCAAATCTTGAGCTCCCTGTGCCCACAGGGAAGGTGGGTTGTGCTGAAGCAGGGTGACACAGAGGGGGAAGAGTGAGCCCCCAATATGTTCAGACCTGCCCATGCTGCCCTCTCTACCCAAGAGAAGGAAAAACCCTCCCTAGGATCTGACTCCTCTGACCTCAGATGGGCAGAAAGGGAGCTGGTGTGATTAGAACAAAATTCTAATTTTGAGAATATACCACATCCACTCATGCAGAAATGGCATTTTCTCTTTGCTCTTATTGGAATGGCAGAGACTCCAAAAAGAAATCTTTCCTCACTGTATTTGCTGCTACTCAAGAGAAGCAGAATAAATCCTAATACAGCTATTCTCAATATAAATAGTAATAATAATAGTTAATTCCTAAATACAATACCCACCAAAAAGCATCTCCTGAGGCTAAAAATAGTATCACACAACAGCTTTAAATAGGAGAGGCTAAAATTCAAGTTTCATTTCTCAAAGCAATTATATCTAGAGTTTCACTAATAACAGTAGTACAAATATTATTAAAATATCCTGAGTCTCACCAAATCAAATGCATGTTATTTCAGACTCATTCTGTGAAAGACAGGTTTGCTGATGCCATTAAGACTCTTTGTGCCACTTTTATAAAAGCTTTATACCATAGGGCTAATTAATTATTTTTTATTGGGACTTAATCAAAATCATACCAAATCCAAATACAACTATATTTTCCATAGATCTTTAAAAAAATAAATCAAGAGGCAAATTTCTAAAATGAAAGCTTTATAATTGTAAAAGACCATAAAGAACTGTTCCACACTAAAATCAAATTTAAAATCCCATACCTCAGGCTCTGTTCTCTGGATTCCTGCATCTTGGCTTTTTTCACCTGCAAAGAAAAAAATGTTCAGAGCTACAGCTAACACAAGCTGGAGGGTTCACAATGGTGGCTAAACTCACAGCCTTGTCCTGCACTCCAGAACTCATCAGTATAACCCTGGGCCCTTCATCTCAAAACAAGTTTTTTCCTAATTAGAAAACAAGGGCTAACACTGGATATTGCACAGCAGAATTACTGAATAACTACTCATGTTAGTTACAGGTGCTGAGATATACAGCCACAAAAATGGCTGGTAAGTACAATTTTACAAGTTTTTTCCTAATTAGAAAACAAGGGCTAACACTGGATATTGTATAGCAGAATTACTGAATAACTACTCCTGTTAGTTACATTAGTAACAGGTGCTGAGATATACAGCCAAAGAAATGACTGGGAAGGACAATTTTGTGGAAATTGAATAAAACAGTCATAAATTTTAAGAAAATCCTACTCTGCACAGATTCAGCACTACAGCCACAAATTTTGCTCTTTCCCTCTGTATTTTAATATTGCATAAAGATAGGAATATTGCATTAGTAACAGGTGCTGAGATATACAGCCAAAGAAATGACTGGGAAGGACAATTTTGTGGAAATTGAATAAAACAGTCATAAATTTTAAGAAAATCCTACTCTGCACAGATTCAGCACTACAGCCACAATTTTTGCTCTTTCCCCCCTGTATTTTAATATTGTATAAAGATAGGAATATTAATACTTTTCCTGTAACAAATTAGGAGTTTTGACTTCTGACTAAAACCAGTACAGCACTTTTTCTCATTTTGTAGGTGCCAGCTGGATCCTGCTCCTGTACAGGGTATTACACCACACACTGCACTGGCTGGAACACAAATTTGGTTTCTGCAGGCTACAAACATTGCTGTGAAACTCTCAGAAGGATGCCAGGGTGAGTTTCTCCTGCAAGAACATGCCATTATTACCTCACTCATACATTATCATCCATCCAGTCTCATGGTCTGTCACAGAATCACTGACTGGTATCACTGGTATTCTTGAAAAAATTACCAAGAAAATCTTTAGCTGAATATTACAGCAGAATCTGCCTAAAAGACACACCACTCAAAATTAGCTGTACCCTGTCTCTCATGCCCTAAAGAATAAAGACAGTTTTCATTATATTAGGATGTATTTGTAGAGATTTCCTTTTTTAGTACAGGCAATGAATTTTAAACTCCTCAAATAGCTGGAGTAAAAACTGTATGATTTTCCTGCTTAATTTCACATTTTGTGGATATTACTCAGGCCCATCATCTGCAGCTTGTGGCAAGCCAGGTTCTGAACAATTTTACATTTCCATTTTCATTTGACTTTGTTCCTAAGTCATAAAATAGCATAAATGACATTACAATGTATTTTCTAACTAGTTTAAGTGAAGAATATTAAATTCTCACATTAAAAAGGCATCAAAGTCTTTTCAATTACAACACCCAAAGTGCCCTCAAGCACATTATTCTGTTTCTGTGTGCATTTGACAAGGTCTCCAAGATTACAAGCATCACTCCCATTGTAACTTGGCAAGTTCTTGTTGAGTTTGTGCCAGGTTTATTTTGGGAACAGAACGTTAATACAAACATTTCTGCTTAATTCCTACGCCATTATGTTTTAGATACACAATTTAATTAATCTCACACTGTATTGATAATTCTCTATCCAATGCTTCTGTGCTATTATCCATTATTGATAATGCAAATACTTCACATACATGTAGCAAGTTTAATCTTCAGACAGGCTTCCCTACCCCAACCTGCTGTTACATCAGTCATTTAAAAATGCCTTCCACTTGTGGAAACAATGAATCACAGGATCTTTTCAAGATCTCAAGCATTAGAAGAATTAAAGACTATACACTCTGTAATACCCAGCATACTGAATCTATCCCTAAAATAGTGGATTTTATTTTCTCTACAACAGGCTTGAGATAAGTCTGGTTTTCTGAGCATAACAAGTAATCACTTTGCATAGAAACATCATAAAGTTCAAGAACATATAATTATTCCTTTCTTACTACTGCCTGTACAATTATAGTAAATTAATTGTACAGCACATTTTATGAACAACAAAATGCTTTTTGTCCTCTGGATAAGTACACAAAGTATAAGCCTTCTTTTCCACTATTAGTTAAAATAACTGTATACCAAAATTGTGAGCTAACTTGTTTTAGATTTTCAGTCTTTTTAAAATGTACTTACTGGTTGCTCGGGTAAGTCTTGTGACTCTTCCATGGGTATTACTATTTTAATGCTTAAATGATTCAAATCGTGTGTTCCTCAGCAGTCTTCAAGCCCTGTCAAAAAAAGGTGTTCATGGCTTTATGTACTTTTTGGGGGCTTATCATGTAGGCTATCAGAGAATATTAATTGTTATATACTCCTCCCATGAAACTCGTGTGGCCATCTCCCAAATAAAATACAAAATTCATATATGGAAAGATTTCATAAACAAGGGATTTAGCTTTAAGCTTTGAAGATACAGATTTTTCATGCACATGGTACATTTCTACATCATTTACTCGGACCACGCTGACTGCAGAAGCTAACACACTAATCAGACACGTGCACCACGATTTTAAAGACAGTTTAAATGATCAAGTCTGGTCTACTAGGTCAGTAAACAGCATGATTCAATCTAACCTGTTTTAATTTAGAACATTTATATAACAATCAAAAAAAATCAGGACAAGACTGTACACCTAAATGCATTTACACACAGTGCTGTTCCCCACCAAACTGACAAAGCAAGTTCATTATTTCAACTGCACCTTTCAAAAAGAGAAGATTGATGACATTTTATAAAAGAATTTTTATTTTGGAAGCATTTAGCAGAGAAATCTTATATATGACATCAAAAAGCTGCTGCCTTCCAGGGGCTTAAAACCATGAAAAAGAAATTTTGCACAATATTTTCACAACCTGATTTAACTTTTGCAATTTGCTGGGCAAAGATAAAGGCCTGTGTCCTCCTGGCTTCCCCCTCTGCCCAGCTGATGTGCACGAGCAGTATGATCTGTGTTTTTGTTCTTTCTGCATCTCATTTTGGAGCCACTTTATTAAAACCAACCCCAACCTCTTCAGAGCAGCTTTTCCTGAGCTGCCTCCTCTGCCACACACCCACACAGCACAACTTCAGGGGACTGCAGAAATCAGAATAAAAGATGAAAAACACTTAGTGGGTTGGAGAAGTTAAACCCAGAGACTTTCTGTGCCGAGGTAAATCCTGTTCCTGCCTCCACAGCCACAGAAGTGTAGCTCTAAATGTCTGCAGAAATGTGAAAGGGCTTTTTCACACACCACTCCTTCCTCCAGGACCTTCTGCTCACCCACCCTGCCCGGAGTACTCGGGCACCCCCAAACCGTGGGATTATCCCCCCACAAAGTGACTGAACTAGTTTAGAGGATGAACTTTGTGGTGTCCTGGAAACCACGGCTCTGTCCCCTCCCTGCTCCTGCCAGACCTACTTACCCTGGCAGCACGTGCAGCAGCCCGGCCCCACGTGCCAGCCACAGGGATGCTACGCAGCCCGGAGTAACTTCAAATCCACCACGAAAACACAAGAGGTTTCTCCCTCCTCTGAGGGCAGGTCTTACGTTCCAAGGTGTATTATATGTACCAAGATAAAATTTCAGTGAGGGTTTGAGGATTTTGCAAGGCTGCCACTCCTAATCAAAGCTACTTACAGTTATTGCCTGAATTCTAAGTCAACTGAATTCACAATTGTCTTTTCCTTAATTCAGGTTCTTTGGAAATGACCCTATTCACAACACACAAGTCTACAATACAAAGCACCACTCTCACCTTTGCAGTTGTTCCTCCACCAGTTTCAGTCAGTTTTATTTTAAATAGTTATTTTTTGTAAAATTATTAGTTATTTTTTGTAAAAATAACAGAAAAATTAGGACTGAAAAAAACCTCTGCCACTTAGAGATTATACAAAGGAGTACAAAATACAGTGGCCAAGAGCAAGATTTGTAATTCATACCAAGAGGTCCTATCCCTCATCCTTCACTTCTGTTCTTTAACACTGTTTTGTTGTTCATAGAAGACTCCCAAACTTAACTCTCACTATGTAAAAATATTTTACATTCCACTGATGCATACAGCAGTAACTTCCCATGCCATGCTTTGCTTAAAAGCTGGAGTAGTTTGTTAATTTTGGTTTTCAGAAGGATTTAAATAATTACAAAGACAAAACAATTCTCAGAGTCCCACCAGAATATCTCACATGTGTGAAGAAAATACTCTTTCCAAATAATCTGGGCACCTTGTAGCACCTGGAAGCAGATGATTGAACCAAAGCAAACAAACAGAAAGTGCCTGCACTAAGGGCAGGAAGAACTTGACCTCTGGTGGCTTCATGCCTTCTCCCAGGGAAGTGAGAATTCCAAGTGAGAACTTGGCCTAGTGTGGCTTCATGCCTTCCCTGTACCTGCAGAAACAGCAGCAGGGGCAGAGGACACCTCCCATCGAGGGGTGTGTGGCTCCACAGACCAAGCAGCTGGGTGGAATGAAGGCACTGAGCTCCACAGCTGGGAGCAAGGGGTGAGGGCAACCCCAGGCAGGGCCAGCAGCAGCTGACAGTGGTGTGGGAGAGCTCCTGCCCCTCCCAGCCTCCCGCACCCCACTCCTGCCTCTCCCAACCTCCTGCACCCCACTCCTGCCTCTCCCAGCCTCCTGCACCCCCCTCCTGCCTAGCAGCAGCTGACAGTGGTGTGGGAGAGCTCCTGCCCCTCCCAGCCTCCCGCACCCCACTCCTGCCTCTCCCAACCTCCTGCACCCCACTCCTGCCTCTCCCAACCTCCTGCTCCCCACTCCTGCCTCTCCCAACCTCCCGCACCCCACTCCTGCCTCTCCCAGCCTCCTGCTCCCCACTCCTGCCCCTCCCAGACTCCTGCACCCCACTCCTGTCTGCCTGACACTCCCTCCTTCCTGCCACCACAGGCTCGTGAGGTTGAACAGCAGCCTGGATGTAGGATCTGCCAAGGGAAGAGAGAGAAAGCAAAGAAAAACCAGAGACCCAAGCACAGTCTTTCTGCTAAGCTGATGACAGAAAGATCAGCTCTGGCTCTGCACAGAGCCCATCCAGGGGAGCCAGCAGGATGAGGGTCAGGAAAAGCATGCAAGCAGAGCAGCAGGATATCCCTTTTCAGCCACAGCCATGGTAAATGAAACCATAATTTTATCATATTTAACATATCTACTTGATGTTCCATTTTGACGAAGCAGAAACATGACAGTGATAAATATACAACAGCCTTTTCACCTGTATCACCCACCCAGCCACCAGGTTCTCATGCAGAGCAGGCACACATCCTCTTGAGGCTGGGAACAGAAATTCCCTGGATCATGGCAGGAACTCTCCGTGCCTCTCTCCTCCTGCACTGAGTGAAGCTGCTGCCAGCTCCAAGGCTGAAGGCACACCAGGATGCAGGGAGCAGATCCTCCTGCCCCGCAGACCTCCCTAACAGCCCCTGCACCACAGCTGCCCCAGCCACCCCAGCCCTTGGTGGGTACATGCCCCAGGGTCCCGAGCCCCTCCAGGGGCTGTTGGAACCTGCTCACCCAGCACGAGAGCTCTGAACCACCCAGAGCTTGGCTTTCCCAAAAATCAAACCCAGCATCTTGCACTTGCTCAGCCTGAGCTGCCTCAGAGGAGCACACTGAGCCAGCAGCTGACCAGCAACTGCACCTCAGGTAAGCTTTTTTTTTTTTTTTTTTTTTTACACATTACTACAGAACATTTTTAAACCCTAAGTGAACACAACAGCAGAGGTATCAAAGATTCAGGATGTGAGAATGCTTCTGTGGGCCACTGGGTTTGTGAATGAGAAAAACAGTACAAAATGGAAGAAAGTGTGCAAGAAACCATTAAATGAGCTGCTGCAATCAAAGAAACATTCAGAAAAATTAGTCCATTGTTCTGCTTCTGGAAACCAGCAAAGTACCACACTTTTTTGCTTTATGGGATGATTTTTGTTAATTACCTGAAAATTATTGAAATATATTCTGTAATATGTGAATTAAGCACCAGATTTTATTTGATCTAGACTTGTTTGGAATAAGCATCCGGTTTAATTCCAACTTGCATGGAGCACCAACAATGCAAAATAATAAGAAATTGGGTTTGTGTGTCATTTTATTTTGTTTGCTCAATTTAAGGAGCCACATTATCTAAACTTCAAACCAGGAGACATCAGAGCAGAGGTATGGGCTGCAGAATCACTCTCAGCAGCTGCCTTCTGCTCTGCACATCTTGATGCCAATAATTCACCATTAAAAGCCCTGGCAAGTGATCTCCAGCTTCTTGCACTAAATCCTGTTTTAAAAATCCTAAAATACAAAGCCCAGCTTGGTGAGACTTTCTCAAACTAGATACTCTGGATAGAATTTCTGAAAGCTGCCTGCTATGAGCAGCACCTGGATAGACTGCTATTTACCTTCAGCTTGTGCTTTTCAAGCCCATCTGCCTTGGCTTTGAATATAAAGTTTCATGCAAGAAACAGTTCTCCCAAGCTGCAAATAATTAAAGTCAGGATACTGTGATAAAACCAACATGCAGTAATTATACTGATTAGAAAAAAAAAGCTAATTGACTATAGTTTTATATTACTTTAAAACAGTCACTCTTTCCCTAACAACAAAGTTTTGATTGGGACAATGAAATTACATCTATTAAACAGAATTGGAATAAAATCATAGGAGCATTTATTTTGGAAAAGACCTCCAAGATCATTAGGTCCAACCAATACCCAGCACTGCAAAGGCCACCACTAAACCACGTCCCCAAGTGCCTTGTCTTTTAAACCCCTCAAGGGATGGTGACTCCACCTCTGCCCTGGGCAGCCTGTGCCAGGGCTGGACATCCCTTTCAGGGGAGAAATTTTCCCAAATATCCAATCTAAACCTTCCCTGGCACAGCTTGAGGCCATTTTTTCTTCTCCTGTCCCTTGTCCCCTGCGAACAGAGCCTGACCCCACCTGGCTCCATCCTCCTATCAGGGAGTTGTGGAGAGCAAGAGGATCCTCCCGAGCCTCCTTTTCTCCAGGCTGAGCCACACCAGCTTCTCCTCATCAGACCTGTGCTTCAGCCCCTTCCCCAGCTCTGCTCCCTTCTCTGAACATGCTCCAGCCCTTCAATATCTGTATTGTAGTGGGGGGCCCAAAACAGAACCCAAAAGAGGGGGAAATCACTTCCCTACTCCTGCTTGACACACATTTTTCACACAGGCCAGGATGCCCCTGGCATTTTTGGCCACCTCCACACATGGTTCATGTTCAGCGCTGTCAACCAGCAAGCCCAGGTCCTTTCCTGATGGGCCCCCTTCCCACCACCTTCCTCCCAGGCTGGGTGTTCCATGGGATTGCTGTGCTCAGGATGCACTCCACTCCCTTGTCCAGAACATTCATAAAGATATTAAGGAGGACTGGTCCCAGTCCTGAACCCTGGGGAACCAGTGCCCAGCCCTACAGGGATATGGTTCCATTCCCCCTCACTCTCTGGGCCCAGCCATTCAGACAGTTTTAAACCCAGCAAAGAACACACCTGCCCAAGCCCTGAGCAGCCACTTTCCCCAGGAGAAATGGGTTTACTAAGGCTCAGGTGGACACATCCACAGTCCTTCTCCTATCCACAATGCAAGTCACCTTGCAGAAGGAGATCAGGTTGGTCAGGCAGGGTCTGCTGGCTGGGACCGAGCCCTGGGTGTCCTGCATGTGCCACATGATGCCATGGGAGATGGTCTGTTCTACAGCCTTCCACTCCACTGAGGGCAGGCTGCAGTCCCCAGATCCATTTTCTGACTCTCCTTCCAGATGGGCATTACACTTGCAAGCACCCAGTCAAGTGGGACCTTCCTGGTTAGCCAGGAAGGCTGGGAAGTGATGGAAGGTGGCTCAGTGAGCAGTTCTGCAGCTCCTGCAGTGCCCTTGACTGGATCCTGCATGGCCCCAGAGACTTGTCTAAGTGGTGTAGTATGTATTTACAGAAACATTTTTTATTGTCTTTTATAGCAATGGCTGCAATGTTTTGTGCAGGTTTTTTGCACAAGTCACCTGTACAGTTATTTTCACCCCTTGGTTGTTCAAGGACCAGCACCTTACAACGAACAGCAACAAAAATACATGAATTAGGCAGCAGAATAGTATAGTGTTCCCATATTATCTGGTGGGCTTTCTCACAACAGTGTGCCCCATGCTGCTGCATTACACACACAGAGTGTGTGAGCATGCAGCCAAAACAATCCAAGACATCACCCAAGTGGAGCAGAGCTTTTCCCCACAATGTTTTCCCTCCATGCCACTCAGCACATGACAGCTCCTGACAGAGGAGCAGAATTTGGCACAGTGCAGCAAGGCAGATCTACCCCTCTTTCTTTTTTTAGATTTAATTAGAATAACCAAATAGAAACAAAAGCAGAAGAGACAGATATTGACATTACTATGCACTGCAAATTCAGCAGAGCTCACGGCAAACACTGATACTCCACTGGGTACAACACACACAGGTATCTGCAAAATACTGTGACAACCAGACAAATAAACCTGTGATGAGTGCTGCTGGATGAGTCCCTGCTCTCTCTCCATGCTCCTTCTTCCCTTCTTTATCAGCCAGGAAATTTCAGAATTAAACATTATAAAAGTTACAAGGAAGGCATTTTGTATGCCATATTTCTGAAGGTATGGATGGTCATGACAAGCCTCCAAATGCTGTCCTGTAGGACTAAAAAATCATGGTTTGATTAAAATTTCATAACTTTAAAATGGAAAAAAAACCCTGTGTTGTGAGAAATAAAATATG